CTATCTAGTGTATATAAGATATCTATGGATGAATCCCACCGACTCTGAGATATTATTTCGCTTACGAAAGTTGAAAACAATTATTGCTCGTTTGGATATCAATAACGATGGATATATAACTATACCGAGGACTTCGAAATCATGGCTAGAAAAGTGAACGAATTGAGCAAAGCAACCGGAGAGCAAGCGGAATCATGCCACAATGCTTTCGTATTCGCTGCGGAGATGCTCGCGGGTACACACGAGGAGTTAAAACGTCAAGGGAGGATGCAGTAAAAAATACTAGCGAGAGAATGTTGGCGGTACCTTGGGAAGAGCAGAAGGCAATGTGCTACACTGCCCACAACCATATCTTTGATGCAATTGACTCAAACCAAGATGGCCACATTTCCTTGGAGGAATTCAAAGTTTACTTTCATGTGCTTGCTCCTGATACTTCTGATGCCGATAAACTCCTATCGTTCAATTTGATTGATGTGAATCATGATGGCAAATTAAGTCGTGAGGAATTCCTCGAAGCCACACTATTCGAATATCTGCATGGAGTCCAAGAAACGAAACTGTCGAAAGTATTTTATGGACCATTATTGTCGTAAAATAATTGGTTAATGCTACTTACATAACATTTGATTTACAGTCTTCGTTGGTTGCTTTGTGTGAACTATATCATAACAACAGTGTGTTAAGACTGTGAAGATAAGGTTTAAGGTTTAAACAGGCACAATAAAAGTTACAGTAATAGTTTAATAAATTGAGGCTCACTAAATATTCGCATTCTGCTTTAATTGGTTAATTTTATGAGCTAACAAAATACTAATCCCTTAAAACTGTTGAATCCCAGGATAAGTTGCTTGGGTATTTCTGTGCTAAAGTGTGGGTTACATACGTTCAGCTGCTTTGTACCATGATATTTAAAACACAAGAATTTTAGATGTGATAAAACACGACTACATTCATAATAAAGCCTCTTCACGTGACAGTGGCGTAGCCAGGGCCATATTTTTGGGAGGGGCGAAGCGAAAACCAAAGGCATGGCTCATGTTTTGAGCATGTTCCCTGGGAAAAGTTTGAAATCTGGAGTCTCTGAAACTGATGGGATTTCAAGCAGTTTGGGGTCAGTGACATTTTTAGGAGTTCCAATGATTATTAAGTACATCAACGACATGATTTTTTATGATATCAAAAACGTACCTTTTCCCAGACATTTTTTTAAAATAAATCCATTGGAAAATCACTTTGGAAAACTGATGGAGGGGTCCGTGCAGTTACCTTTTTTCTCTCTATGATGCTGGGAGGAAAAAACCCAATTTCATTTTGATCAGAATGTTGCACTTAGGATGGTTCTTGTGGCGATTGGGGAGGGGGGGGGGTAGGAAGGGGAGGGGGAAGGAGCGGTCGCCCCTAACACTACGCCACTGCTTACGATTATGTGACTTGAAACTCAACCTTTTACGATTCTGCTCGACCAACAACTAACTTAAGTTCGCAGTTAATATCAATGTTGATAATAGATAGCTAGCTCTTTCAGCGCTATTACAACAGCACTAGTAGAAAATGAACATGAAACTAACTTTATAGTTGTGATACTGCATATGTAAATTTGCACCCTTTTGGTTTTGCGATACTTAATTTGCACCATTTTGGTGGGCTGCCATCCCAGCGGGCAAAATGACGTCTATCCAACGTTGAATCAACGTTGGAAATGCCCTTCCAGACGTTGTATAGACGTTGAAAAAGGGTTGACTATGCAAATTGGATCGACGTTACTGCTTCGACGTTGAAACAACGTTGAAATTAGGTTGCCAATCTCGTCAACCATAATTCAACGTTGAATCCACGTTAAAACAACGTTGAGATTGGTTCACAAATCGACGTCGTACATTTAACCATGAATTCAACGACTGTTGGCTGCTGTTGAACCAATGTTTGTAAAACAACGTCAGAGCAACGTATATATTAGGTTGTCGACGTCGCAACCTTTTTTCTACCAAATTTCAACGTTGAAACAACGTCGTGTGCCCGGTGGGATATATGTTGAAATCACCAAATAAACAGCTTATGCGCACATTTCTCCACTTCGTCGTAAGTTTACAGAGCAGATTTTATACTTTGGGACTGATCTTTGTCTTTGATGTGAACATTTATTCTTCTATAGTTCAAGGTTATTTAAGATTGATCCTGTCGCAAGTCTTCTACCAGCAACCAATCGACAATATTTTATTTCAGCGTTGTCTTTGCCGTTACGTTGGTTTCGCATTACTTTTGTTTTAAATCCCTTGATCGCATGACATAGCCAAAAGATTTAGCAATTAGCATTAACTTCCTTGTGATTTTACAGAGATATCGCTAGAACTGAGGATTTTAGAAGGCGTTATCTGTACCTTCTCAAAGTTGTAGACAAGATATGTTGTTTTATTAGGTCTAACACGCATAAGCCTGTACATAACTCAAAATGATTCGAGCAAAACGGTCTTTTGTTAAAAGGAAGACTGGTTTAATAGAAATTGGTCATTTTGAGTGATATAATCGTGTGTCGTCATCGATGCGTGTCGTCGTCATCGATGCGTGTCGTAGAACAATGAAAAAAATTGTTGTGAAATTAGCGAAGGTAAAATAGCAGTTTGTGAGAACACTGCAAGTCTACGGTGTGGGAAGTTTTCGGATTTGAACTCAGCGTGTTCGAAAGTATTTGTTCCCATAAAAATATTTCAGTTCCAAGACATGCTCAATGAAAATGAACGATAACAGAATGCAGCAAACGGCCTACAAGAAGCTGCTTTAAATTCCTAAGAGCAGAAAATCGTACGCTTTAGAAAGATATTTTAAACCCTGTCAATATTTTACGCATCTTTGCGTTCAGTTTAGGGTTAGGGCATTCAAATTCTAACAATA